GGAAAAGAATAAAAAGAAAAGAAAGGTAAAAATAAAAAGGATACACAGGCGAACTAGGTTCGAAGATAATTACGACAACCATTCCCTGGCAAGGGCACTAGAAATGCTTGTTGGTATTTCTTATCGTAAGCAGAAAAGTTCACAAGCGCACAGAATTACCGTTGTAGCACTTCATCCGGTGGTAAGCAGGGTATCATATTTCCATGAGGAACAGAAGTGTAAAGGTCTCTTAACTAGTTCACCTAAGATAACATGAAGAAAGATAGCTCGGGTAGTGAGGTTTTCTAAGGATAGAGAACCTAAGTTAAGATAGCTTTGCCATTATAGACTTACTTTGGGCACCGACTTATACTTGGTCTGCCAAGTCCCTCTAGCTTACAGCTCTACTCCGAACCCGAACGTGGGGGATTAAGATGGACGGACAGGGCTGTCACCACTTGCTGCCATCCCCTCAATCGTGGGGAACGAGGCAAACGAAGGTAGCCTCAAGCCTAGACACCACATCTATGCTATCGACTACTACTCTAGCGCGCTAGCAAGGGTTATCCGTCTTTATCAGGGCCCTTCTACTAGAGTATCTATCACAAGAACGGATGATGAACCCGCAAGAATATAGTAATCAAAGATAACTTTTCTTGAGAACTCAGCACCGAAGATAAACATGAACCTTATACTTCAAGTAGTATTTGGTATGTTGAGGTACAAGTGTAGAGGGAGCCGACAGCCCCGGCACTCCGTCCACTCAATGTACAAGGGTCGCCAAGTACAAGAAGTAGAGGTAGCCGACACTCCGGTACTCCAACTCTTAGCTCACTCACTCCTATTCTAATTCTAGCTAAAGCCTAGGTAGGAATGGAACTCTTCCTCTCTTCTTGCTCTCTTGTGTTTGATGATGAATGTGAGGGGGTGGCCTTCTCCTTTTATACCTCAAGTAGGACGATTTGTTGAGGTATTTTAGGCAACCCCCACCGCAACCGACCTCAGGAGCATTAATGTTACCGCCCTGCCGAAGGTGGGTCTAAGAGGCACCAGTCGCAGTGCGGCCGCCTCATCACCACCTTCGCCTGGTGGGTTGCTTGATGGGCCTGGAGTGTAGCCACGTGGGTGTTCGGCTCAAGTTTGCAAGGTAAGTGGGCCTTCCTTCTATTTGTTTGTGTAGAGTCGGCGTTTACATTTTCCTGGTTGCGCACTTTGACTCTTTTTCCACGTATTCCAAGTGTGTGTCCTGCAAATGCACAATTAACCAAAACATATGGAAATCATTAGTTTAAAGTCCTATTACTAGGTTTTGGTGTTTGTTTGTATGGATTTTATGTAAGTGTTGGCGGTATAAAGTGTGAGTTACGAACCCCCAACACTCGCCATGCCTAAAATAACCCTCCTCCTTTAACATGGCTTGGGACCTATTATGCTGGAACACCATAGGCGCCCATCATAGGCGGAGAAGAATTGGAACTACCACGAAAATCATGAATTATATATTTGAGTTCAGAATATATACTCTCACCATCTTAAATAGATAAACATATTTTAATCATGAAAAAGTCAAACAAAATAGGTCTTTACTATTAGTTTTTACTAGAGTAATAAAATGCACGTTGGGTCCTCAAACTTTTGGACATACCAACTGTCCAAAACCCACCACGGTAGTGCCAACATCTGACGTGGTCATGCTACAGTGGTAGTTGGACGCTGGTCCTTTCTCTTTCTCACTCCTAAGTCCATCCTCCATGCCACGCTCTCCTAGGTCACCGTCGATGCACGCGTCCTCCTCACACCCATGCCAGCCCTCTCCCAAAAAATTCAAAACTTTTTCAAATGAAGTTGGATGAAGACAAACTTTATATAAAAGTTATATATCTTGAAGAGATCTACAACTTTATTGTTGACTACTTTTTTATTTGAAATCATTTGGATCTAACAAATTGTGTTTGAAGTTCTGATATTTCAAAATTCTATTTTTAAAAATTTTCATAACAACCTCGGATGGAAAAATGACCAAAACCAAATTATAGATCTCCAAAAGAAATATAAAGCTGCAGCTAATAAAGTTTTCATTTGAAATAATCTATGGTCCGCAATTTTTTTTTGAAACCCTCACGTATTGGTATTCAAAATTTTCAAACAACCGCAGATGGAGAAATGACAAAAACAACTTTTATATCTCAAAGAGTTATACAACTCCGTGGTTGACAAATTTTTTATTTGAAATCATTTATCCAAGAAAAAATTTATTTGGTTTTCTCATAATTTGAAACTCAAAATTTTCAAATAAACTCAGATGGAGAAACATGCAAAAAACCAAAGTTATAATACTTGATGATATCTATGTACAATTTTGTTGTTAAAACCTTTTTATTGGAATTCATTTAGGGTCCCAAATACTTATTTCAAAATCGGGTGAGTGAATAAAGGGAAATTTGGGGTGGAGTAGTCAGGGTCGCTACACGTGAGGCCTAAGAGCATCTCCAATAGCTTCTAAAAAATCACTTGGTAAATTAATGAGTTTTCTAAGTGACTAAAAAGTTGTGAGCATATTTGTTGGCTTTCCTCCAATAGTTTCTAAAATCTCATCCTAAAAAATAGACGGTAAAACTAGTTTTAAATCCCCAACCGCTTTTATACTTTCTATATCTCTGGTACATTTGAATCAATAACCCTGTCTTACTTCTTATTCTTCCCGTCATCCTTTCACCATCGGATTGGCTTGATGGATAACACATGTATTTATCCACGTGGCGAGGTCATTTTTTCCAAGTGCGTGAAGACTGGGAGTTGAGATTGGGAGTTGTTGGAGAGCATTTTTTAATCTTGCTAAAGTGGTAGAGCTAGCGCCTGGACGTCCGGACGGATGCCCACGCCCGCTCCGTGTTGCGCGCTACTCGGATTCACATGCTTTGTTTCCGGTGCTCACGTGAGGACCGTCTATGCCTGCTCCATTTCGCGCGCACACATGGACTGCCGGCACCATTCGCACGACTCTCCCCACCCGCCACATGCGAGGATCATCTGCGTCCCTCTGTTTCTCGCACGCTCGTGTGGACTGCTCGCACCTGCTCCATTTTTTGTGCGCACACGGGTATCCACGCCCCCACCTGCGGATGCACGCTGCGTGAATCCGTCTATCCCATCCAAGAGTATACGCTTGAAACATAAAACACTTGATGTAACCTACGTCTGAAATAGCTGAAACATTTGGAACATATGCTTGCAACATGTGTGAAACATATACAACATCCAGATACAAGCACTTGCAACATACATCTGAACACATGTGAAACATTTTGAACAGACACTTGCAACATACATATATAGCCATTGCAACATATGCAACATCTGGATCTATTTTTGCAACAGCTATATGAAACACTTGCAACATATATACGAAACATCTAAAACACTTGAAAGATATGTTTGCAACATGCGCTTTCAGCGTAACATCTCCTTGCTGAGGTCGCGCATCGTAGCGGTCATGACCTTCCTGGTAAGGAACTGCAGTAGCGGTAGCAAGCTCGGGTCAGTAGTGGCGGGGCTTCCTGTCGTGGTGTCTTCAGCCGACCGCGGGAGATGATGTCTTGGCCAACGGCGACCTTCTCCTGGTGGCGCCGTCCACGCCGTGGTCACGATGGGCGAGGCGAAGTGGGACGTGGTGGTGGATGGGGGCGCTATGGGGGATGGAACGCGGCGCGGCGGCGGAGGCGGCGCGAGATAGGGGCGCAGCGGGGGATGGCGGCGGTGACAAGGCAGAGTGGGGCGAGCGGACGTCACGGTGAAGCCGCAATGTGTGAGGCGAGGGAAATTTTCTGTCGCCGGGGTGTTGTATTTTTTGGGTGCAGTAGAGAGTAGAGAGATGGGGGAGAGCGTAGAGGGGAGCAGGCCGGTTTCCTGTTGGGCCAGACCGCTATGCAAGCCTAGGAACGTGGTGTCCGGATGGATGAACGCCCTACATAGAGGATAGATTGGGAATGGGTTTTGGAAAATTAGAGATGTTATAAGGGCGCAGGTTCAAACCCTTACGGTCACACACGCGTGTATTTTGCGTGAAAAAAATAATGTGACCTATGACTTGACACGGCTGCCCTAGATTATGACTTGACACGGCTGCCCTAGATTAAAAGAAATCTCATTTGTAAGGGCGACCGAGAAGCCGTCTCTACAAGTGCATACTCATAATAACAAATGAAAAATTAGAAAAGAGGGCTACTAGAGGATATATAGGGTTGTGAGCGCTGCGAACCCACAAACCCTATCCTAATCTGCACAGTATCATAAAAAAATAATATAAAGTATGAAAAGCTACCTGGCTGGTCTTAGAACCTATTTAATTCTCTAGTCTAAACTTTTGTTGGCTAAAGTTGAGAACTAAAACTTTAGACCATTTTTTCAAAAACAAATGAAAATTTACACCATTTTTAGCTTACTTATATGGTCAAAAGTTTTTACGAAATTAGCTAAATTTTAGACAATACTATAGACCTCCTATTTAAAGCATAAAAACTTAAAATGGTCTAAAGTTTAGTCAGCTAAATTTTGGACGGTGAGATCCAAACAGGGTGCTTACCACATCACTTAAAACGTGAGTTAGGAATGGCCTCCATCTCTCGTGCTTGGACTCGTTGCCGGAGAAAAGCATGTCCCGAGAAAGTGAAAATTAACCATGCTACCCCGCGCGGGCGCGTCTCCCGCTAAGCCGGCTTTAAGACAAACCGCTGCATTTACAGCATTATCCGAGCACGGCATGCAGCATGGTGGCCCTGAAAAGCTTCTCCCCACCTTCCCCAAACTTGGCAAACGCACCATCCCCGAAAAGCTTCTCTCTCGTTAAGCCAGGCCGGCGAGGCTGCGTGCGTGCATGCGGCGACGTCAGCCGGCGGCTGTAGCATGGCCCTGATCGACCTCGGGCGAGGAGGCGGCGCGGCGGCCGCGCCTCAGGCACCGCGCCGGCCAAGCCCCGGCTGGTGATGATCGTCGCCGATCCCGGCCGCGAGTCGACAGCGGCTATGGAGTGGGCGCTCTCCCACGCCATCGTCAAGGGCGATGACATCCTGCTCCTCCACGTCAACATGCCCTACCCGCACAACGGGGCCGCGGGCGGAGCCGCCGGGCCCTCACGCTCCTCGTCTGGCGGGAGCACCGGTTCCCCGATCGCCGCGCTCCTAGGGGGTGGGTCGGGCGCCGGCGGCGCGGAGTCGGTGGATTTCGTGGAGGCGATGCGCGCCGCGTGCAAAGCGCGGTACCCCGCGCGCGGTGTGCACGGGGAGCGCGTCGAGCCAGCTACCGAGGGCCGGGAAGCCAAGGCGCAGACCATCCTCGCCGAGTCCCAGCGACGGGGCGTCGAGGTCCTCGATATTGGCCAGCGCCGCGTGTCCTCCTTCCTCGGGTAATAAGTAATAACTGCATCGTCTTGCATTGCGACCAACGTTCTCCACAGTCCACGCACCATCATGGGCCCGATCGATGTCACTAATGATCTTTAACTTGCACATCATCAGGTTAAGGAGCGCGAGCGGGTCGAGCCGGGGGGCACGACAGCACGGCGGAGTTCTTGATCGAGCATAGCAAGTGCCTTTGCGTAAGCGTGCAGAAGAAGGGCCAGAATGCCGGATACCTGCTCAATACAAAGACCCACAAAAACTTCTGGCTCCTAGCATGAACGTATATGTACTCGATCCATGCATCTTCCATCGATCGATCGATCAGGCATGTTTTAATGTATGTATGTATATATACATACATTAGGCATTGCGTGCATGCTCGTACACTATGCTTGCTTGATTTTACCAGTTAGACTCACCCTGTTCGCTTGAACTTATCAGCCCGGCTTATCAGCTATGGTACAATGTTTTTCTCTCACAACAAAACAATATCGGCCAGCTTGTCAACCACAAAAACCATTGGTCGAACCCGCGGGTGGTAAAAAAAAGGGAACAAACAATGTCCGTCTTTGTTCGTGATTTGCCTCCCTCTTTTTAACTGACCACTTGGGCACCGCGTGGGTTGGACATAATACATACAGAGAGAGCTTATTAATTACCTCGTCGAGATGCTAAACCGTAAGCCCTTGTTTTCCCCCAATTTTTTTTCATGATGTGTGGCTAAATACATGTTTCAATACTAGCAAAAATACACATGCGTCACAAAAGACCAAAAAAAAAGCTATATATCAAATGTTCATTAGAAACTAGAACTGGAATATATGATACCCCTTGAGGTGGATTTGGTAAGAGCAATTTCATTTTTTTTCCAACATGCAAGATGAAATCAAGGATTATAACTGGAATTTGTTCTTGAGAATGAGAGGAGGGGATTTCTTGATCTTACACTTGTGAGAGAGGATTTTGAGGGAGATGAGCTTCATCTTCTTCTCCAACTAAGCTTGGCTTTGATTTCTTCTCCATTGCCTTCTTTCTTTCTTTCTTTCTTTCTTTCTTGTTCTTCATTTTCTAGAGAGAGGGACGAGGGAGGGATGAGAGTGGGAGAGTGAGGAGGAAGAGGGGGACTGATCTGGTGTGTGGCAGGCTCCATCTTGAGCTAACATGTGGGGCCACAAGGAGAGAGGAGAGGATAACTCAACTAATTTCATGCTTGCTGCTTTAGTGTCCTGGCAGACAGTCCGACAGGATGGATCGGACGGTCCGTCACAACCTTGTTGACTCCACCGTTTTTACTAGTTAACTAGGGTCTGAGATGTTCTTCGCAACGGTCCAGGAGGCAACTCCGGACGGTTCCCCCCAAAAAAGGAGGCAACTCCGGATTGTCCAAAGAGGCATCAAATTAAAAGAGCTGGTTTCTTTGAATAAGGTGAGGAATTGAGGACTGATGTTGGGCATTCTTGTTGAGAGTAGATTAGCACCTATTGAGTTTGAAGATTGTATTCTAGTTGATTTCTTGGGATCATGGTCCGGATAAGCTGGTTGGGTTGACTTGAGTTGACCAGAGGTTCTCTTGGGATCTACTAGCTTGCTTTGTGGAAATTTGTCGTCGAGATTAGGGTTGAGAGATACTCACTTCGCTAACGAGCGTAACCATTGCAGTAAGAGAGTGAAGAGAGGTGTACCTTGGAGCATAAACGGATTGAGTCTCACGGTTCGGAGAAGTTTCGGGTGATTAGCGGGGTCCACTTTGATCATCAAGGAGGTGATGGTCAGAAGTCAGGGCTTCCAAGGTTTTTTTTTGCAAAGATTTAAAATTTGGAACGACTATCGGGTCATGATACAATCAGATTGACAAACACCATTACCTAGACTAACATTAGAGAGACAAAAAAAAAGACAAAGAAGAAAATACACAATATAACACTTCCACAATATTGTCTAGGCTACACTTGATTTCTTGCACATTCTTCTTTAATTCTTGCTCATGTGCCGGTCAGCCTAGCATGGAAACTATTGATGCCAATTTGTCTTTTGAGACAACCACAGATATGCATCCGTACCGTCCCTTAAAGAGAGGAATTGGTCCATATTTTTTCTTGTGGATACAGAATTTAGAGCCCTCACATGTAAAACCAAGCTCATATATTACTACAGCGCAGGGATATAGTATGATAATGTAACTTAAGAAAGCTAGTTTGAACATACAAACATCAAAGGCCAAGCAATTGAGACTCCTTTGGCTTGAGCATTACCAATATTGTTGCACCCAGGCCTAGGCCTCACTAATGGCTCATCTTTTTCTATAGCATGATCGATACGTACTTTATAGAATTGACTTCCTGTCTTAACTCCACCAACAATGACTTCTAGATCAGTGCTTAAGAGAGTTGCATAGGCCACATTAGCCTTATTAGGATATTTTAAAGTCATTAGTAGCACCATGGACCCAACCTACATTAATTTGACATAATCTCTTAGTGACCAACAACCCTTAGTTGTACATCAAGATCATGCAATTAGAACAACTGTATTATATTCATCTACCTTCATTACAGGAAGTTGTTTAGGTGCTTGACGCTTGTTGCATGTAACCTTGTCATGAGCCACCTCCTGGTGTGCAATGGTCGTAGTCTCTCCAGGCCCTCCATGATGACCCTTACACATATAAAATGAAGTATGAAATATTAAGACAAAAATTCCTCTATAAATACAGCAAAGTGTGGTTCATAGATACCTTTTGTTTCTTTGTTGTTTTACTTGTGGTGGATAAAAGTAGACTGTCATCATCACTATATTCAGACTCACATGTTTCTTTATTCTAGTAAAGAGAAAAAAGACAGTAGCATGAGTTAATATAAAAAAATCCTTTGTGAATAAAATAGTATTAAATTCACAAGAAAGTGACTTTACCAATTCATCCCTGTGTTCAAGGAATCCATCATTCTGGTTGGGTGCAACACAGTGAACTCTCTAAAAATTTGAAACAATATTAAAGCCAAAAGACTAAATTAGGTGAAAACATAGAAAATAGAGCAAATACCTTTCTTTTAGAAAGCACCGCTTGATTCTGAGAATTGTTATGATCACTCCTAACACAATTTCCCTAGAAAAGAAATAAAGTTTGAGTAACACATTTCAATACGAAGTTATAAATTAAAATGTACATTGTTACCATTGTTGCTTCTTGGTTCTCATGGTGCCTTTGATTGTTTTTTAGTTCTTTAATAACTTTGTCTTGCATTCTAGAATGCTCTTTGAGTTGCCTTATTTCCTCCAACATGTGAGTCTCTACATCAGATGATGAGCCATCTAGTGAAACTATATTAATGTCCTTAAAATGGTGTGTTCTTCGACCATAAACTTGTTTACGAACTAGAAGCAATCCCATGCCGTGCACTTGTCCAGCTTTCTCTTCTCCCAACACCCAATCTTAAGACATGATGCTAAACATGGAATGTATTTGAACAAAGGGGACATGGAACTCAGTAAAAAGTTCCCATTGGAACAGTGCGGTACAATCTAGATAAACCTTTTTTTAGTATATACAGCCATATGTTGTTCAGTAGAGGGACAGTACAAAGGCACAAATTTAATTTGACCCATATTGTTTACATATTCCTTTCATATGCAGTTACAAATACCATTTTACAGTAAAGTTCAGCGAAGTTGTCAATCCCCTATGACCTACAATTTAAACTCTACTACTCTAGACCCAAGGACATCTCTTCTAATCACATCTCTTACCTGCACAACACTTCTAATCACACATGAATTTTCGGTCACAAGCATCTGTTAGCTTCTTGTATTTTCCATCACTAGCATCAGTTAGCTTCTTTGTATTTTACTATTTTCAAGTGCTATCGATCAGTATTTTCAGTCACTAGAATCTGTTAGCTTCTTGAATTTTTTGGTCACTAGCATATGTTAGCTTCTTGTATTTTCTGTCATTAGCATTTGTCAGAGTTTGTATTTTCAGCAAGTGCCAACGATCTCTATTTGTATTTTCAGTCACTACAATCTGTTACCTGGCACTCTACTCTAATGAAATAGCAGAAGTGCAGTACTACTACTGCTAAAGTTTTTTTTTTTTTAAACTACATAAACAGTGGAACCACAGCTCAGAATGGAGTGCAGTACAGTTCAGAAGAACCAATGGTTTTGAACTGTCAAGTTTGAGTTTCTTCATTTAGACCAAAAACAGTAATACAATATGGTGTGATCATATGACACTGAATCGACATTGCTAATGTCTAGGGATTTGTGAGATGCAAAATCAGTACAAGAGTAGAGAAGGCGTATTTTTCCTTGCTGCGAACCAATCAAATTTCACCGATTCAATAGAGGCACACGAAACACCGCCATGCACTTACTAGCATCACATAAGGGCCGCACCTTTAATTTTTCCACCAATCCAGACAATAATAGAAGAGAAATTAAAAAAGCGGAGAGCAATCACTCACGCCATAGGACGATGACGCGTCCAACGATGGCTTCGAGCATCTGGAAGATGTGCTTTGCTGTCGACGAGGAATCGGAGGTACCCCGCCACCACATCTGCTCCTCCCTGGCCGGAGAAATTGCTGCTGCATCCACGTCTCCCCGGCCTGAGCTTGCATCGTCGGCTCGCCGCATCCGCTCCGCCCAGGCCCGAGCCAGGCAGCCAGAGCCACTTCCCTCCTTTGGCTAGCCGCCGCATCCGCACCGCAAACACGGAGCCGCCCACCCGTGCCTCCCCATCTCGATCGGAGACGGAGGCCGAGATGCTCCAGTTCACACGCCCACCGCGCGGTCTACAGACCCCGGCCGCGGCACGCCGGATCCAGGCCACGTCGAGCCCCCTTGGTGGCAGAGACAACTGTATCGAAGTAGGCAACGTGTGGTGGGCGCCGGGCGGTGGACGATGGTGCGTGCGGTGTACCTGAGGGTGCGGGACAAGGAGGAGGGGAGAGCTCACCGCCGATTTGTCCGCTCCCGGAGGCCGCGGGCCTCGATGACGTGCAGTACCAGCCCCCGGCGCTCCGCGTGTGGCCGGATCTGCGTGTGACTTGTACGGATCTGCACGTCCCTTCGCCGATTCTTCGGATGCTGGATGCCGGCTGCCGGCATGGATTGTTTAGACGAAGTTGGGGGGCAGTGGCACGCTGTGTCGAGGGTTGTTAGGTATTGAGGCATTTTTATTATCAGTTTAATTTAGAAATATAACATCAGCAGGTTTGTGACAGCATATACGTGCATGTGTATATTTTTTTTGAACGCTACAGCATGTATAGATGACATACAAATCAATACAGTAAAAATACAAAATACAGTAATCACAGAGATTAGATTGTACCCAGCGGAGGGTCCCATGTCGAGGACATCGGAGGCTCTATTCGCACTAGTCGATATAGTGTGTTGCTCGAAGTCGCGGACCACAGTCGATGCAGGAAGATGTTCGCAGTGCAGTCCCACGAACGGATCACCAGGAAGAAGACGCCTTGACGTTTCAGGGAGAAGACGGATCCAAGAGAGATATCCAGCAGGAAGAAGATGGACGAGCAGTTGCGGATCGCTCCCCAAAAACCTAATCGCCGCTCACCCCGTGCAGAATTCTCAGGCGGCCGAAGGTTCCGGAGGCATATATGCTCTCCCGCTCCTCCGTACGCGCAGAGGTACGGGAGAGAGAAGTTAGAAGGCTGCTGATCTGTGTTTCTCTCGGGAACGGTTGCGGAAGATAGGATCTGGACTGATGGAAGATGGGATATATGGCTGCGACTGGGGAAGGAGACGAAGGCAGCGGAGAATCCCAGGAGACGGGAAGCGGAAGCGGAAGGGACGGTAACTGACGCAGTCAGTTCGCCTCCACCATCAAGGAGCGAAACTCCTATGATAATGTGGATTTAAGTGGCAAAAGACTGGCCACGCCCGCCTGCCACGCCACGCCCACGGCCTCGGCCCAGCCCACGCCCACGGCCACGGCCCGGCCCGGCCCGGCGACGGCGACGGCGGCGCGCGCGTGTGGCACGCCTTTATCCTTTTCTCAGCTTCTCAATTTAGATGAATAATTTTCAACCATATGCTGAGTCAGCGTCCAGTCAAAATCACGTATGGTATTAAACCATATAACACTTAATGTTACGTACCATAGAGTTTTATTTGATTTATTAAATATTATATGGGCCAAGCTCAAATTATATCCAACAATCCCCACCGAACTCTAGGGTTTATAACAAAGTAGTCTTAGAACCATATTTGTTTTATATACCAGTATTTTGATGGAGACTGTTAAGTTGAACATCCATCTAGAACAATAGTTTCACTCAGTCACAACTGAACAATGGACTAAGCCTTGAATTGACAGTTTTGTGTGAGATGAATATCACTAAAGTTCTTAGCTGATACTGGGCAGCAAAAGGCATCCCCTCTATTTGAAGCATATAAGTCATACTTCAGTGCCTTTCATAAGTATTTAGAGATCACCCAAATCTCATAGACTGTGACCAGCAGTCTGACTCATATAGGTGTGTTCCTCAAAAGATATTCTGTAGGACAACATCTTTGCTTTAGCAAGCCGCTTGGAACATATTAAGGTAAAAACCAACCTACCTTACAGATAGGAAAGATGTGCATCAGAAATGAGTCTTACTAAGGATCTTTCCTTAGAATTTACTACTAGCTTGTTTCACCGTCCTACTTCACGAGATCTCCGATCACATAGCACAGGTTACCACTATAGCAAATTTCAAGTGGGTCTCAAACCCATCTCTCTCAATGCACTTTCTATCATGTTGCGTGACAGACCCTTAGTGAACTGATCTGCCAGATTGTTAGACGTGTGAACATAGTCCAACGCTATTACTCTGGAGTTTCTCAATTTTCTGACAGATTTTAGTCGTCTCTTAACATGCCTTGTGGACTTCATGTTGTCCTTAGAACTGTTAACATTTGTAATCACAGTCTCGTTATCGCAGTTCATAGAAATAGCCGGTATAGGTTTTTCAACAACCGGTAAATCCATAAGGAGATCACGAAGCCACTCAGCCTCAGATCTAGCAGTGTCTAATGCTGTGAGTTCTGCTTCCATTATAGACTTCGTTAAGATAGTCTGCTTGCAAGACTTCCAGGAAACAACGCCACCTCCAAGCGAAAACACATATCCACTTGTGGCATAAAGCTCATCAGCATCAGAAATCTAGTTGGCATCACAATAGCATTCCAGCACTTTTGGATGTCCGGTATAACAAATAACATAGCTCATGGTCCCTTTTAGGTAGCGCATTACTCTCTCAAGAGCACGTCAGTGATCATCTCCCGGGTTTGACACAAACCGGCTCAGCTTGCACACAGCAAATGAGATGTCAGGCCTTGTTGCACTAGCAAGATACATGAGCGAACCAATGATCTGGGAATATCTCAACTGATCCCTTGTTATTCTCCGATTTTTCCTCAATAGCACACTAGGGTCATAAGGTGTAGGAGCAGGTGCACAGTCACTGAACCCAAAGCGACGCAGCACCTTTTCCACATAGTGGGTTTGTAACAGAGTTACCCCATCATTACCTTCTCTTTGAAGCTTGATATTAAGAATAACATCAGCCTCTCCCAAATCTTTCATCTCAAAATTTTTAGATAGAAATTCATTCACCTCCTCGATCACTTTGAGGCTAGATCCAAAGATCAGTATGTCATCAACATATAAGCATAGAATAACTCCTTCACCCCCACCATACCGATAGTACACACATTTGTCGGCTTCATTCACAACAAAGCCAACAGATGTTAAAGTTCTGTCGAACTTCTCATGCCATTGCTTAGGGGCTTGTTTTAGGCCGTATAATGACTTTAATAATTTACACACCTTGCCTTCTTGACCTTTTGCTACAAACCCATCAGGCTGATCCATATAGATCTCCTCCTCCAACTCTCCGTTTAGGAAAGCTGTCTTAACGTCCATTTGATGAACGATAAGACCATAAGAGGCTGCCAGGGAAAGCAAAACTCGAATTGTGGTCAGTCGGGCAAGTGGTGAATAAGTATCAAAGAAATCCTCACCTTCCTTTTGGGTATAACTCTTGGCCACAAGCCTTGCCTTGTACCTCTCAATAGTATCATCAGGCCTAAACTTTTTCTTGAACACCCATTTGCACCCTATAGGCTTGCACCCATAAGGACGATCAACAATTTCCCAAGTTCCATTAGACATAATAGAATCCATCTCACTCCGTACTGCTTCCTTCCATAAGTCAGCATCAGGAGAGGAATATGCCTCTTCAATGGTCGTTGGCGTGTTATCCACAAGGTACACAATATAGTCATCACCAAAAGACTTTGCAGTCCTCTATCTCTTACTTTTCCTGGTGACTATAGTGTCATCCTCCTTAGGATTTTGCACATAGGGTTCTTCAATTT